GTAGTATTTGCTACCTACAAATTAGTTCAGCTACATTAAGTAAAAGGAATATAAATATGACACAAATAACAGGCTTGACTGACTTTTCCATTTTCAAGTCTTTTTTAGGATAGTTATTAAAGGAGCCTACCTCTCAGCAAGAGAGGTAAGAAATCTTAGATCCCTAAGATTATTAAGTTATGGTGAAGGTTTTGTCAAATTATTTCATGGAGATAGAAAGTAACAGATGTCCTATTTTTAAATAGCTAAACTTAAGTAATGCTTAAGATACACCTATACTAGAAAGAGTTTGTGGAATTAGGAATATACAAAAAACAACTGAAACTAATATCGATTGCTTTTCTCTTTCCAAACTAAGATATCTAGCATCTATGGTGGTATGGCAAAATTTCACACAGTGAATAAATATTTATCTATCGAACCAGGCACTGTCACTGGGGATATCGAGCCAAACACTGTCACTGGGGATATACCTGCAAACAACAATGACAAAAACATAAAATTCTGTCCTCATGAAGCTTATTCTAGTAATGGAGATAGACAATAGATAATATTTTAAAAGCAAAATATATCTTATGTTAGATAACATAAGTATACTGCTATGTGATCAATGTCCAGAAGAAAAAGTAAAGAAGGAGACAGAAACAGAAAGAGGTATCTGCATGTATGTGTGAGTATGGGATGATTTGAGAGTTTCATTTTAGGCAGAGTGGCCAAGGAAGACAAATTTTGAATTAGACCACAAGGAAATAAATGAGTTGAACCACGTTAAGTCTCCAGGAATAACATATTCTACATAGAGGAATGAAAATATGTAAAAATCTTGAAGGAGGAGCTTGACCAGTCGTTTATGATTAAGAAGTAGCAAGGAAACCATGCGACTGGCACCACAGAGTGATTAAAGGGAGAGAGGTGGAAATGAGATCAGGACACCTGTGCTGGTTCTTTCCTGTCCTTTCTCTCTACGCGTAGCAGGTTTTGTCTTCTCTGATCACAATATTGAAAGTAGGTCTTGCCTGTTAGTCTTTATCCCGGTGCCCTAGTTGTCATTTATTATCATCAATAATTACTTGTGATTGTCTAACTAAATTACAAATATCAGGAAGGCAGGGACTGTAATGTCTTATTTGTCACACTAGCATCTAGTACTTAGCACACTGCCTGTAACTGGTAGGCACTCAAAGTGCCTAGATCTGTTGAATGAATGAATGCCTGTTCTGTGAGGCAGTTACTGGAATATGCTCACTTGCCAAAAAGTTATCAAGCTGTGATTTAGAATTTGTGAACTTTTCTACATGTACTTCAATAAAAATTAGTTCCCTTAAAAGTAGCATCATGAAAAAATATATATAATTAAGAAATTAATTCATATTAATATAAATTAATTGTTATTAATATATTAATAATATATACAACTGTAGAATATATCTGTATATATGTGTGTATGTATGTGTGTGTGTGTATATATATATATATTTTTTTTTTTATACAGATAAAGTTTAACACAATCTCAACACACTCTAAACGGTATGATTTTTTTTTAAAGGCTACTCTATCAGGACCTTCTCTGTTGTCTCTGAAGAGTGGACCTACTACTCCTGGTGCTGTGTCCCAGGGAAGCAATGAACATGAAATCCTCCTATGTAGGCTGAAAACTTATCCCTTACAAATCCTTTCCCCAGAAAAGCAAATATAATTTTGACTGAGCTCATTAACACTACTATCATTCAGTTACATTTTCAATGAAATCATCTTTTATTAACTATCTGTGGGACTGACACCATTTAATTCAGTGGGAACAGACAGTAAAATTAGAAAACCTAATTCTGCTTTGCTGAATCTGCCTAAGTCCAACTTTGCATATAATAAATGTTTAAAATAATGAAATAGAATAAGGTATTTATGATTTTATTCACTGAATATTACAAATTAGTGAGAACACAAATTTAATGAACTTTCTAATATCAGCTGAAGTTATGTGTCTATTCTAGATGCAACTTACGTGAAGTCTGAAAAATCCTGTGGCTTGTCACTCCTGGAAAATAATGTATAACTTTCCTCTCCCCTTCACCCTCTCTCTAGTAGCTCGTGACCAAATATCTTCAGAAATAGACAATCTTTTAGTAATTGCCAGAGGTACATAAGAGTACCACTATTTTTCTTCCTGATTTTATAAACTCTTAAAAAGAAAAGCTGATTAAATTCTAAGGGAGAATGTACATCTTTCATATACATCAGCTCTTCTTGTTGGCTGATTGCCTAAACCCAGTTATTGCTATATATAAGTTCATATACTACATGGGAAGAAACAAAACTTGAATTAACATCTGTCTACTTTCTTGTTTACTGAGCGAATAGCTTTGTTCCAATGGCTGAGCTTTTATCTTGAAGAGCTAAAGTACCTATTACCATTTGTTGATTAATTTGCAAGAATGACTAATCTCTTGTACAGATCTTCTCAATCATTAAAGACTAAATTGACTTGTTGCTTGGTAAATGGACCAGCTTTCTCAGTGTCATCCTGAACCTGGAATGATGAAGTGTTCTTAGCCAACAGCCATACCTCAATGTGACTGTAGGAAAGATACTATTTTCTAATAACTTTAGATATAGCTCTGAGGTTTCAAAAATAAATATTTCTAAGAATGTCATGTTTTGTACATTTACATTTATTAGTCAGGACTTTTTTATTCTTCATGATGTTTGACTTATATTTTGGTATGGCATTCATTCACTGGGTTCTCTAAAATATTCTGACTCTAAAATGATCAGTTAAGGTACATAGTATAAAGGTGAGTGTCCATTAACTGCCTGTATTAATTTTCTTACCCTCATTTATTCATTTAACTAACATTTATTGAGCAAAAACTTGTGTCTAAGGTTAAAGGCCAGGCATTCAAAGGTAGTTACAAAAATAAAAAAGATATGGCTTTGGAAATCTGGAAGCTTTTTATTTAGCTGGAAGGAAACACTCAGATAAAGTACTGATATGGAGCTATATAAAGAGAAGCCCATAAATGACCAAACTGTATTTAATTTATAAAAATGGGAGATATTTATAACTTCAGTAAAATTCAATCTAACTAATGTGTTTCATATTAGTTTATCATAAAATGGCATTTTATAAATTATTTGTGGTGTGCTTCATACTACAAATTTAAAATGTGTTTTAATTAAGTGACATTTGAAAATATTTTTTAAGGAACAAAATATTTAAGTAATTAAGTATGATTGTTTTCCCTACTTTTCAGATAAGTAAACTTAGATATCAAAAGATTAAATAATTTATGCAAAGTCACATAGGAGTAAGTAGGGGTAAGAACTAAGATCAACACCCAGAGAGTCCAGCAAAGCAGTTTGTAAAACCAGTCACTAAATTGCCTTGAAAAGGTAGAAAATCCATTTGGTCAGGATACCTTTGTTTTATGCACAGAAATTTTCCAAATGCTCGAATACTGCTTGACTCAATGCATGTGTTTGCTATACATATTTTCAAGGTTAGTACTTTTCATTTCTCTCTTCCTAAAAGATATTATTATATCTGTGATTCTTTTGTCCAGAATTCTATTCCTCAGTATATAGTATTATATTATTTATAATTTTAGTATAACCTCATTGACCACTTTCTACTGAATGATCTGACACAGGTATAAGAAAAGATGTGTTTTCCCTTCCTAAACTTTTAGGATTAAATTCCTGTACACAGGAAGTAACAATTATACACAGGAAGTCACAGACTACACAGGAAGAAGATCAAAACTTATGAGAAATATAAGTTAAAATAATTAAGATCATGAATGAATTATAAAACCTGTATAAATATCTTATGTTTATTAAAATAAAAAAAATTAAAATTAACTAAGAAACTAATCCAATTACTTTCATTTATATTATCTCAAGATATTTGTCCTCCTCAATTTTAATAAGATGCTTGTTTTTTTTTGGTTTGTTAAAAACTACACACCAAGAGGCATTTGTCCCCCGTGAGTAATTGTCATAAATTCAATTCTCATTTTATGGATTGACTCTGGATTTAGAGAACCTGGCTGAAGATCTTGGGATTCAGAAAAACTTCATGGCTAAACAACAATGTTCAGAAAACTTTATTTGCTTAAATGGACATAAATAAGAAATTATGATGAAACTCTCCCTTCATAGCATGGTTACGGAGTTTAATTCTATCTGTGATAACTGAATTTCAGCATATATGAACACATGAGGATATACTAAAACACTTGACTTTAAAAATAATTGTTTATTGTATACATATATAAACACATATATAAATTTACATTTTGTTTGTGTTGCTCCCATTCCATTTGCATAAGTTTTGGTTATTTGCTCCTTTTTTTTTTTTTTTTGGCCAGTTTGTCAATTTAAAAAAAGCATATATTCTGGACATGAATACTTTATCAGATATATGTATTGCAAATACTTCTCTCATTCCATTTGTTACTTTTTCACTCTTAAAGTCATCTTTTGATAAGTAAATATCCAAAATTTCAATATATTACAAGTTATTATTCTATGATTAATGTATTATTTGTGTCTTATTTAAGAAAACTCTGCCCCACTTAAAGTCACATGGATAGCTCCTATATTTTCATCCAGAAGTTAGTGATTTGCCTGTCACACATTTAGATCTTCAATCTGTCTGTGATTGATTTTTATACCTGGTATAAACTGGGGCCAAAATACAATTTTATTTTCTGTATGGACATCCAACTGACTCAGCACCATTTATTGAAAATACCATCTTTTCCCAGCTGCCACTCTGACTTAATTTTATCTTACCTATCTATTCTCTTCTGAACACACATACTTTCCATTTTATACCCATGTTCCTTTCTCAGCACCTTTCTTTGTTACTTTCATTATAAGTATATATTATTTAGGCCAGTTTTCTCCAGTTTTAAAGAATAGATATAAACATGTATCTTCTAAAAACATAAAATTTTCAAAAGTGGGCATTTTCAGAGAAAATGAAACATTATAGTTACCGTACTCATTAGCCATTTGTCTCAATAACATCCAGCATAGGCAGGTCTGTAGTAAGTAGAGTGCAGCTGGTGAACAGAAAGTAGCACCCTGTCCATCCTCCTTCTTCATGTCTTCTTGTTCTGTGAAGCCTGAGAGTGTAAACATAAAATAAAAACAACCAACTTTTTTTGCTAGCTCCCCTTGTAGCTAAAGTTCTATGTATTAATTAGCTGTGCTTATGCAAGATTTGAATGACTGAAAAAGCAGAGGATATTTTTCTATAGCTTTAACTTTTTATATTCTCAAGTTCCAATGTGGAGTAGCTCACTTTTTATACAGAGTGCTCTGTGCACTGTTTTAATTAGGGAATATTGAAAAGTGGTTAAGGCTAATTACTGATTCTTAGACTACAGCTCTAGATGTCCTTATAGACTGAAGTCTTGATGTCCAATATTCTATTGTGATAGAAGCAATAGTTTCTGCAAACAATCTTATCTGTAGTTAATTCTGGAAACTGCCTGGAGACCTAATATAGAGTACACCTTTTCAGCATTTATAGCAATTGTATAATGAATATATGTAAGTTTCATTTTCTATAATAAATATCTTGGTCCCTAAATAAGTGGGGAGGTTAGAGGGCAGAATGTTTTACAAATTAAAAACATTTACAGAAGGGTGGAGTTCTTAAGGGAAGAGGATGTCTTGGTCTTTCTGAGTTGCTCTAACAAATTACAATAGAGTAGGTAGTTTATAAATAATAGAAATTTATTTTGCATAGATCTGGAGGCTAGTAAGTCCTAGGCAAATCACTGACGGATATCTCATGAGGGCCTGGTTTTGATTTATAAACTGTCATCTTTTGGCTGTGTCCTCATGTGGTGAAAGTGGCAAGAAGGCTCTCTGTGGTCTCTTCCGTAAAGGATCTAATCCCATTCATGATTGCACCATTCATATGATTTAATCACCTCCCAAAGGCGCCACCTTCAAATACCAAACACTGAGTAATGTTTCATCATATAAATCTGGGGGACACAAACATTTAGTCTATACAATTCTACCCATAGCCTCCCTAAATCCATGTCCTTTCACATGCAAACTATATTCATGCCATCTCAACAGCCTCAAAAGTCTTAACTCATTGCAATATCAAATCCAAAGTCTAAAGTTCAACAACTCATTCAAATATCATCTAAATAAGATATTGCTGAGAGTGGAGAGATAGGAGGCATAGGAGAGACATTCTCATTCCAACAAGAAGAAATAGTAAAACAGATATAGGTAACAGGTCTCAGGTTGAGACCAAACTACAGGACAAACTCCATGAGTTCTTACAGCTCAAGAATAATCCTCTTTGGCTTAATTGTCTGCCCTCCAGGCTTACCTGGGTGGTGACATCATAACCCCCACCACCCCTGGCTCATTGGGAAAGCCCATGGTGGTGCCTTGCTTTCTTTCTCTTCCGTCCTTCCTTCTTTCTTTTTCCCTCCCCTCCCCTTCCCTCCCCTGCCCTCCCGTCCCCTCCCCTCCCCTTCCTTCTTTGAGACAGAGTCTTGCTTTGTCAACTATACTGGAGTGCAATGGGGATCTTGGCTCACTGTAACTTCCGTCTCCCAGGGTCAAATGAATTATATGCCTGAGCGTCCCAAGCAGCTGGGAATACAGGTGTATATCGTTGTGCCTGGCTAATTTTTGTATTTTTAGTAGAGACATGGTTTTGTCATGTTGACCTGTCTGGTTTTGAACTCAAGGCCTCAAGTGATTCTCCTGCCTCAGCCTTCCAAAGTACTAGGATTACAGGCATGAGCCACCCAGGCTGGCCTCCAGAATGGCTTTTTGCCTGGCCCTATAGCTTTTTCAGGCAAAGATTGGACCCCTAAATCTCTGGATGACCTTGCTCCCGCTTTTTTTGGGAAGAGGCCATCTGGCCTGTTGAAATTGATGTAATGGTTCTTACTTTTGGAAACAAAGGAACAGGATTGATAATCGGAATCACCTTTGGAGTCATTTTACCCTGGTCTTGAAAAATAATGACCAGCTTCTGTTGAGATGGATGGTTAGGCTTGTGGTTCATGCCATACTAATCATATTATCAAATCAACCTTGGCCACACCCTTAGTATTCTCTTTGTAATGTGTTTTCTCATTTTTGGAGTATGGATAGACATAATTATCCAAATCTTCAGGTTTGATTTTCTTTTAGCATAACAATTTTATCTTTAATTCATTTCTTTCTTCTCACATTTTACTACAAATATCAGAAAGAGCCAAGCTTCACTTTCAACACTATCTATAGAAATGACTTAAGCTAAATATCCAACTTTATTACTCACAAGTCCTACCTTTCATAAAGCACTAGAACACAAACATGTTATAATTCAACCAAGTTCTTTACCACTATCTAACAAAGATAGCATTTTCTCCTATTTCCAATAAAATGTTTATCATTTTTGCCTGAGGTATCATCATAATAGCCTTTACCATCCTTATTACTCTCAACAGTCTGTTCACGATGCAATCAGCATTCTCTAAGAAGATTGAAGCTTTCTCTAGAGCTCCTGTATTTCTTTCTGAGCCCTCACCAAAATTACCCTACTGATCCCATTTGCAACAATGTAGGCTTTTTCTAGCCTGCATCTCAAAACTCTACTAGCCTCTACTCAATATTTAGTTCCACAGCCACATCCATATTTTTAGGTATTTGTGAGAACAGCACCCTTACTTCTTGGTACCAATTTTCAGCCTTAGTTCATTCAGGTTACTATAACAAATTACCATAGACTGAATAGCTTATAAATAACAGACAGTTCTAGTGGCCAGCAAGTTCTATATCAAAGTGAAAGCAGATTCAGTGTCTGGTAAAGGGTTACTTCCAGGTTCATAGACTATCATCTTCTGCTTTGATTACTTAGCTCCCCTAGGCCCCACTTCCAAATGCCATCACATTGGGCATTAGGTTTCGACACAGAAATGGGATATAAACATTTAGTTGACAGCAGAGAAAAAGTTGCAGGTTGTGACAGCTGTTTTCAGAAAAAGGACTCAGGCCCACAGAGGTGAAGTTAAATAATTGAAACATATATAGAGGAATATCAGGGCAATGTAGTTAAGAAATGACAAAAATTTTGCATGGAAGCAAAATATACTATTTAATACTAATACATTAGAATTTGTTATAGACCTTCAATGAACAGAAAGTATGTACCACTTTATTGTCAACTTCATTCCCATGTTCACTAATAGATCTTCCCTGTTTGCCAGTAACTAATTCAGGCTTAGCTTATAATTAACAATTTTAGGGCTAGGTGCAGTGGCTCACACCTGTAATCCTAGCACTTTGAGAGACTGAGGCAGGTGGATCACCTGAGTTCCAGACCAGCCTGGCCAACATGGAGAAAAATCTCTACTAAAAATACAAAATCTCTACTAAAAATACAAAAATTAGCTAGGTGTGGGACAGGCGCAAGTAATCCCATCTATTCAGGAGGCTGAGGCAGAAGAATCATGGCAGAAGTTGCAGTGAGCAGAGATCCGGGCATTGCATTCCAGCCTGGGTGACAAGAGCAAAACTCGATCTCAAAAAAAAAAAATTAAATTAACAAATTTAGAACTTTGAGCTTCTAAAAATCATCATTGACTTTAAGCCTCTTAGAAACCGAAACAAAATAATTTTTTTATTATGTGGATATTATTGTCTAAGAAAAGGCACAACTCTAGACTGTTAGAATAAAGAAAGATTTTCTAAATATAAACCGTACAAAATATTTAGAGAAGAAATTGCAAAAGTCTGTTAAAATGTGAGAAAATTAAACATAAAATTTAAAGTATAATTAAATAAAATTAAATCAAATGCAATTCTTTATTTGAGGATGAATAGTGTATATACATATGTATATATATACATGTATATACATATAACATTTTAATGTTAGTGTATATGTATATACATATATACATATATACACGTATATGCGTGTATACACATGTACGTATATACACGTATATACGTGTATATATATATATATACACTAACATATTAAAATATACTGCGTACTATCTGGGTTTCTAATGACATCCGTATTAATCATTTTTTAAAAAATAAAGCATGAACACTAAACTCAATAAGGATGTTTTTTAAAAAAGTTATTGAATTGCATTATTTCTAGAGACTTAATGAGAAATGATTTATTGTAGTTTTCATAAGGCATCTTACCATTTTGCTGACATACAATGATTTATGTGAAAATAAATACGCATTTAAAACATATAAGAGTTAAAACTAAAAATTAGTATGAAATAAAATCTTTGTTAGCTTTTAATTTTGATTTTCTTAGATTTTTTTTTCAAGAAATTCTTACTAAGACTCTACCTTGTTTTGGGGAGTATAGGAAACACCAGTCAAATCAATAGATTTTTGGCATCACACTTGTACAACCCAGTTTTGATTCAGATGCTCTGAATTTTTTTAACACAGATGAGGCAGAACAAATTAAATACTTTGAACATACATAATCTTGAAAATAAGACTCTCTTCTGTTGGATGCAATAGTAAAATACCAAAGCTTATTAAGTTTCTCTCATTCCCTTTTGCATATCTTTCACTTCGAGAAACTGAGTGTTTCCTATAGGAAGGAGTTCCTCACAGTGGTCATCTCCTCACCACACCACACAGGAATAAGTGGATGCCCTGTATTCAGCACTCTTGAACTCATAACTGCCTATCAGTATATTGCTATCTTCCCAGGGTTTTCAGAACCAGGGAAGTATGGAAACTTTGGGTGAATTTGTAGTCAGTAGAAATACTGTGTTCTTAGTTGTGATGGCCCTGCCCACTAGACTAAGGCTGTGTTCCTTCACATCCAAGTTACATAAGAGTGAGTAATCAATAATTTCTTCATTAATACTGAGTTCAGAGATAGGGTCAGGTGTTAGGAACATCTTGTTCCATAGCTCTTCGGGATATATCCCTCTACTGCCATTCTAGTCTTGCTGTGCATCCTGATGACTGCACCTACCTTGATGTTTAAGTGAAACCAGTGGTCTCTATTATTATAAGATCTTTATCAGCTTCATAGCTCCCAGGGAACCCATTCCTGAAACAGCATCTCCATCTTTGCACCTGACCAATAAAAGGCAGTTACCCTTGTGATTTGTTACGATATTGGTACATCTGTGTTTTGTTAATTATTTTTGTGTAATGGTCAGACATGTGTGGTCAAAAGAGGAGAGGTTCAGGAAAAAACAAAGTGTATTATACTCCCAGGACCTAGGGACAGAAAGCACAGCATGCCCTGTGGTGTCATATGGGAAAAGATACCACGTGATCAGAGGACAAAAGAGCAAGGAGAAGGATTAGGCCACTGACTTAATTGGAGTTTCTGAGAAAAACACAAGTCAGGGCAGGGTGAACAGTTTAGGACTGGCTAGCTTGAATAATTTTAGCCAGCTTTAGGCTATGGAGGTGTTTCCAGTTGCCTGGTCCTGAGATGATTAAGGCTGAGAAATGTTGTCCTCTAGGGTGTACAGGCCAGATATAGAAGACATGGCTCTGGGTTACTGAGTTTGCATATTAATGACATGCTCCTGGTTTGGCCTTTGGTTATTTTTAAGAATTGGCTACCAAGTCTCTCAACAGCTAGAAAGGTTTTTAAAGGTGTTAAAACATCAATGCATTGAAAAATTAAAAAAAAAATATAGATAGATAGATATGCATGTTTACAGTACACCTCCTCACCAGGAATTTCTTATCAAGTTGGTGAAGCGTGTTCTCTAGGCCCTCTTTTGAATCACCAGTGGGTTAGTGAGTTTTCCAGCCTTATGTATACACTCTAACATGGCCACTTCTCTGGGCCTGTTAATGTTTTCTTTACTGTTGGCCATGCTAGCTCTAACATTTCCATTTCACTTATTTGGAGCCATGATTTTTTTTCTGTTTGTTTGTTTTCAAGTTCCAACAGCCAACCTAGCAGTGTTTGTTCTGTATTATGGTGTTCTTAACAGGCTTTTAAAGCTTTATGGTAGGATACTACTACTACTACCTATTAAAAAACTAATTTATCAAATTTATGTTATGAACCCTCAGATTCCAGCCTCATACATATTCTCGCAGTTCCTGCCAATAAATGTTTTCTAAGTCTTACAGGTATTATGGTGTATGTATTACTTTTCTCAGTGTGAAGCTGAGCCGTACTGAGATTTAACTGTCATTATCTGTGGGAATGTTAGGAAGAAATGATCCTATAATGGTGCCTGCCTCATTTGAAGCTTCTGTATTATCTTCAGGCAGGAGGAGTCTAAACTTTTAACAAAAAGGGTCAAGTCATTTCAGTAGGTCCAGTGGGTACAGGGGAATCTAAAATTTCAAGTTTCAGGATGGTACTTAATCAGATCCCCCTGCAATACTCCTCCCTTTTTTTTTTAAACTTTTAGGTGTAGGGTTATATGTGTGGGTTTGTTATGTAGAAAAATTGTATGTTGCGGGGGTTTTGTGAACAGATTATTTCATGAACTGGGTAATAAGGAAAATATTCAATAGGTAGCTTTGGATCCTTACGCTCCTCCTGCCCTCTACCCTCAAGTAGGCCCTAGTGTCTGTTGTCCTCTTCTGTGTGTCCATATGTACTCAATGTTTAGATCCCATCTATAAGTGAGAATATGTAGTATTTGGTTTTCTGTTTCTATGTTAGTTTGCTGAGAATAATGGCCTCCACCTGCATCCATGTTGCTGCAAAAGACATGATCTCATTCTTTTTTATGGCTGTGTAGTATTCCATGGTGTATCTGTACCACATTTTCTTTAGCCAGTCTACTGTTGATGAGCATTTAAGTTGATTCCATGTCTTTCATATTGGGAAAAGTGCTGCAATGAACATACGCATGAATGTGTGGTTTAAAAAAAAAACCTTTATTTTAGGTTTGGGGACACATGTGCAGGTTCATCATATAGGTAAATTGTATGTCATGGGGATTTGGTGTACAGATTATTTCATCACCCAGGTAATAAGCATAATACTCGATAGGTAGTTTTTCAATTCTAGACTGAGTACAGATTCCCTTATTTCAACATGAAGATCCCACTTCTTTCCTACTATGGCCTTGATTTAATTTAGGAGATCTCTTAAGTTTGAGAATTCAACATTTTCTGAAATCTTCTGCTATAGTTTTGTCCTAAGCCTTGTTGACTGCTGTTTGATTTTCAGATTCAAAATATCTAGGGTTCCATAAATGTTGCCTGGAAGCCACTCTGGTTTTCACACTTTGCTTCAATTTCATAATTAATCACCTGACCCTGTCATTGTCTCTCTTCAACAATCAGTGGAAGTCAGTGGCACCCACCCAATCTCATGGTATTTATAATTACCAATCTTATCATATTTTTCCAGTGGCAAAGTGTCCATCCTAACTCCAGGGACAGTTAGTATGCCCCTTTCTACTGATACCACATTCCAGTTAACCATTAGTGGGATTTTAACAATTGCATTGCTACAGCATGCCAGAGGCTAGCGATGCTCCAGTAACTACCAATTACGACTTCTCAATGCAAGCTAACTGACAATTGATTCATTTCCAAAATTTCACATTGAGTATGTTCTTAGAACTGACCTTTGTAGAGGCTGTCTTGAAATGTGTCTCCAGAAGCAAAATCTGAGATAGAAATCATAACAGAGGATTTTCTGAGGTTCGTTTTTGAGGAATACACTGCAGGGAACTGAGGAAGTCAAGACTGAACAAAGAAAGAACCTATGTTACAACATGGCTGGAAGTGAATCTTCAACCAATCCTACAGAAATCGCTGGAGCTAGTCTTTCAGAATTATTCTAATGGAGACAAGGAAACTGGAACTTATATCCTTACATATTCCAATCATTGACTGCAGACAATTTGGGCAACGATGGTTCCTGTGGCCAATGGTAATTCCCAGTGAAGGGTACACAGTATGAGCCCATTGTCTACCAAAATTTCCAGTAGCTGGGAGATGGGTGCTTAACCCTAGAGAGTGATCTAGGCTGAACATCATAGTTCATAGGATATGAATATCATATCCTGAAAAAAAGTATAGGGTAAGATTTACAATTTACTTCCCTGAGAAAATTGCAATCTATTAGAAAGAAGCTAACATTTATAAAACACTGAAAAGGACACTGATGTGTTTAATTATATTGTGATGCATTTCTAGTAAGTCCTATCAACCTAATCAAATCTATTTCCATCTTAACTTTCTGGAAGTATCATCCCAAGCCCTGAGGTAGTTTTAGGCTCTTACAGATGTTTTCCTGCCTCATTTAATTTACTGATGAGGAAAGAAAACAAAAGTGTCTGATAGTTAAATTTCTTCTAACAAGATAAAAACATGTTAGAGCAGAAATTCTGCGAATTGCTATTTAGGCATGTAGAACACTCTTAAATATGAATCTAAACAGAAGACAAAAATGGAAAATGGTATATAATGGAAATATATACCATACATAATTACATATAAAATATATAAAAATATATATTGTTATATACAGTAACAGTAAATAATATATATACAGACCTGTAATGTTTATATGCATGTGTATATATGTATATATGTGTGCATGTATATAACATATATATGTTCACTTCTGTATTATATGTACTGCATGAAAAAATAACCTAGATATACACGACTTTCAAACAAGACTTGTCTTAATTTTAAAGCAATGCTCTAAATTTGTAGACCTTCAAATGTTCTCCTAGTTAAAAGAATACAGAAGTTTTCCAACATTGAATCTTTGGCATATCATGTTTCCTTTGTAAAAATAACTTATAGCTGTTCCCTTTTAAATATTATATATGTACATATATGGAGGTTTTGGTCATAGTGACTAATATAAATAATTTCATGATCACTTTAACAGACTGAATGCATTGCTCTCTTTACAGTCTTTTAATATCATGAGGTACTTTTTTTCTGAATTTTCAATATCGTGGCTATTAGGTAATGGATATCATTTCATGCTCAGTGAGAAGAAAAATACATTTAAAGCCCATAGAAATCAAAAGAACTACTGATGATATATCTCAATTTGGGTTTATAGCATCTATGTCTCTTTGTGAGTTAAGAAAGTCACACTGGGAGAGAAACAGGTGCTGGAAGGCTGCTCTTACAAGAGACTATGAACCTCAGAATACTATAAGTGTTGAGAAATATTTTCTTTTCCCCAATTCTCATTCAGATTCAACTTTCTCTCCATTTAGCTTGTCAAATGTATGTCTGCCCACATTTATTCTCTTTTCCTGATTTGTTGTAACTGAAAGACTGCTAACAGAATGCTAGTATGCTACGTGCTGTAGTTCAAGCATATTGGAAAAAAAAACACCTTTGGTTGCTGTGCTACTTTTCTTTTAAAGCTTTATAGTTTCCTTGCTTGTAAAGCATTATAGTTTCCTTTGTGAAAAGCAAATATCATGTTTTTAAGGTCACTAGTTAATTTTTAGAAACGTATATTTAACATAGTGATTTCTTCTTTGTAGAATGAGGGGAAGAATATTTTAGATTATTCCTTATTTTGAAGAGACATGAGCAGAACTTGATGAAATGCTCATTTCTGAGAACAGTTGCCAAAGGAATGAAGAAACTAATGTTTTTTCTTTCAAATTTTTGATACACTAATAATTAAAGTGGCATTATTATGGAGAAAGTTCTATTTGCCTGTAAATATAAAATATCCCATGAAACCATAATTATATGCCATTGAGGTATATTTAAAATATAAACAGCTCTAGCGACTATACCCCAAAACAAGCTGTCATAAAAAGATTATTTTTATTTTTTACTTGCCAGATTCAAGGAACTGTTTGAAACAAAACGCATACATGCTTCTAGTTTCAATAAATAATTTAAAAGATTCCTCAGATAATGTGCCCAGCAAATATTTTCTCATCACTGGACTCTGTTTGAGGCAGTTGAATAGCACTGACCAGTGGGAAAAATAGCCTGTAATAGAGTTGCTATGCTTTTAGGATGTTTCTTCAAAACTCATTTTATTAAAAAAATCAATTTTAGATTTATAATTCACAACTTGTCATTGAAAAAACTGAATGCATGCAAAATAAGAATGAGGCTTTTTTTTTGCTTATTTGCCTTATATCCATTTACCAAAAGAAATGCACCTAGACATGCCACCTGATCTGATTTTACTTAATTATGACTGTTTATAAAAGTTATTGTTGGAATTGAAGAGCCTAAGAGTCATGTTCATTGGGCAATTGTACTTAAAGATCATTTATTTGGGTCTAGGTTCTTTGGCAGGAGTATTTATGATGAATTTAAAAAATCTTTACATGATGGTTTTACTAGTACATTAATGTTTCATTCAAATTTAAAAACATCTGTTTATGTCTGCCTTGCCTTAGCTTTACTACAAGAAATAATTAATTTATGACTAAACCAATATTGGTTGTTATAGATACCTTTGCTAATTTATTCTCTACTCTTAATAATTATGTTTTCTTTAGAAAGATTATTTTTACCTCCCTATTTATAACCTAAAATATCATAGTCAAAGGGTATTGTATTTGTTATTAGGAAACCTGTGTTCAAGGCTAGTTTGTCATAACAAATTGTAATTTTTAATGTCCCTTGGATTCAATTTTTCTACCTGTATAACCAAAGAAACATCTAGCATTATCTTACTTTCACTTTAAGGTGAAAAGAAAATCCTTGAGGTTTTGGTGCTTATATTTTATCCTATTTGCCAATGTCAACAAAATAGACTAGAGACAAAATATAGAGAATTTCCCATTTTTCTTTATCTTTATTTTTCTGGTAATTTCATTTCTTTTGTGAAGTAGATTTAAATTCAGTTGGAAGTTTCTAATCTCACCTATATTCTGTGACTTCCAAAACTGTATTTCTTCTTCTACCTATGATCACTTATCTTGGGAATTTAAGAAAGTAAAAATAAAAGTAGTGAAATCATGTAACAAAACAAATTTAATCTGTACAGTTAGATGCTTCTTAAGCTAATACTAGTTTCCCATAACAGTAAGGCTCTTTTCTTCATATATTAATAAACATAATGAAATAATCAATACTCATTGAGCTCTAAGTTGTAAAAATATATATAGTCTCAAAATAAATTGATTTCTGCCTATTTAACTATCACTGTTGCAAAAATTTAGTCATGTTCATTCAATGTTACATCTTTTTGCTTATCCGTCTACTTCTCTTATATATTTGGCTTTTTAAGGTAATACATTGTGTATATTAAATAATTATTGCCTCATCTTAAGCAATGACATTTGGTAGACATGAATTTGATTAATTCTCACCTGTTTTTTTTCAGTAATGAATACATCTAAAAATGAGCTCTGTCACAAAGAATGAGAACTTTATTTCCTTATAGCTTTCAGAGACTATTTTACTTCTATTTAATCACAGTAAAAAAAACCAAACAATAAAACAACAACAGCAGCAAAATGATCCTCACTTTTATGGGTGTGAGATTTATTTGGAATGTGTTTGGCTTTTGTTTCTCTGGTTTAAGATACTTTAAAAAAATATGAGAGGAAATATTAAGTACTGAATTATTTCAATTGCAGTAAGTAGAAAAAAGGAAATAAATACCTTTTCCAGGTAATAAAAAGTATTTCACAGTTACATCCACTAGATCATGCTGAACAGCTACATAGATAACAGGGAGCATTGTATGCACAGAGTAGTTTAGTTATCAGATAAATTCCACCCACAACACCTAAATTTTTTTCATAGCAGAAAGCCTATATCCCAAGGCAGAGATTACGAGATATGATATAGTATAAAAAAATATAACCTAGGCCTTAGAAAATTTTTGAGATGTGTTAGCAATTCTAACTCTACCCAATTTTATGTTTTCTAAATTTAGCATTCCATCATATACCTTTCAATCAAAGTAGCACCATTAAATATCCAGATTTTTGTTATAATATTCCACATTTACTTAAAATTTTTTAATTCTAGATGTGCTTTAATTTAAATACTTATAATAATTAAAACAATGTGATAACCCTTCACTGAAAATACAAATTATTTATAATTTAACCTTCCAGATACACTTATTTAGGCTTTCTAGAAAATAATATGTTTAGAGTCATAAATAATTTAGAATATTTGCATGCTAAAGGCAAACAATAATATTCTATATCTATTATTTGTATGCAAAATTTAAATATTCTTTATATACCTTTGTAAAGAAAAATCTCAATGAAATGGAGATGACCCTCCTGGCTCTGTTTTTCCTTCTGAGATTTTTACCTCACCTACTTTCATGTTAAATAAATCACATCTCTAGTCTATTTAAAAAAAGCTTGTACTTTGATAAATCTTGGTTTGCTTTGCCCAAGAAGCTTCCCTCCTATTTCTTCACATGTAATACTTAAAGTCATTCTCCTAGAATCAACCCAAAACTTTTTGAAACTTATTCTACTTATAAATTTAGAGGTTTTAATTTGTTTATTTTCAATATCTTAAATTGCAATAAAATGATATCTATATTTAACAGTTGCAATTATTTGCTGGTCTACATTTTTGAGTCTCTCATTTGCTTTTGCAGACTAAGGTAGAGAACACATCTTGTTTATTTTGTATCATTTATATCTGGCATAATTCATGGCTCATAATATTCAAATGTTTTGAAAAAATGGCTGGCAAGTCACATCTATATAAAACTAAAGAAATCATTCAGCGTTTTATTCACTGAAAACAGAAGTTAAACAAGT